GATCTTCCCGGATAAGCAACCCAGCGAGGACACGCGCTTGGGCAAAAAAAACCCAGGCAAGGGTCGAACCCAAGACCACCCGAAAAAGATCTAATGCCAAAACCACTACACAATGCCGCCGCGACGAGAGGTGCGATGTCAAGTTTATGAATAGCAACACCGGACTTAAGTGAAATTTCGTGTTTAGTATCTGAACACAAATTCCATGCACCAGGCTAGCAGCTCCTGTTGCATATTTAGTATCAATCCTAGGTGTTCTTGTAGCTATTCTTCGTACCTCAGGCTTTCTACTGTCACCTAGGAACCAGGTTTAAATGCGAAATAGTGTTTCTCTAGTCTCAAGAATGGGTGCCCCTATTATCTTGAAACCTTGTTGAAAGGCTGTTGACTCAACAACCTTGTGTCGAGGTTATGCCAAGGCTCCCGCAGGATTGCGCCCTTAGTATATGCTGCAAGGTCCCGCGGCATCTCACGACTAAGTCCCTTCAAGATTCTGGTAAGGTTTCTTGCGTCGAAACATTCCCCCAAGGTTTGTCTTGATCGTGATGTGCAATTAAAACCTCATATACTCTATTAAATACTCGCCTATTTATTAGAACAGGGATGTGTAGCTTTTTTTTCGAAGTCCACTCTTAAGCCCCAGTGAAAAGGCACTCCATCGAATCCCATCCATTTTTATAAATAACCACAAGCTTCCTCGCAAAACCATCGGTTCGGCCTCCGGAAGCCCATCTCGCGGCTTCCCACGAGAGATGACCAGCATCCGGCGAGGAGATAACAGGATTCCACACAGGCGGCTAGATAAGCCAGCCTAATTGTCCTAGATTAGATCGAGCTTCGCTGTAATTAGATCGACCCTCGCTGCAATTAGATCGGTTCATTCGGCAGTTAGATCGACGCGCGACGCACGCGCTGCAATTAGATTGCTGCGCGCTGTAATAGACATGCTTGCTTCTGTTACCTACTGTGGGCCCACAGAGAAGAGCCTATTGGGCTCCCTGCGGCTATGCCCTTCTGCGGCTCTGCGTCCCGATGTCCCCACTGCAATGAAGCTAGCCGCAATACTCCCTCGACAAGGTACGAACCAGCACAAACACTAACATATCCCCCTCTAGTATTACCAACCACACGTCCAAAAGTAAGTTGAATCCGTCGAGTGGCTCCCTCGACAAAACTGGAGGCCTCTGCGCATCATCTGACAAACAGATTCTCCTAGCATGTATCCACACAAGAGCTAACACGATCTATCTCAGAGGAGATACTGCTCGATGAACAAGGTAGGTGATCTCTGTCTTTCTGCTGATAGAACTAAGGCCCTCTGTAAAGGTATATAACGTCCTCCTAGCGGACGACTGTTCGGCAGTGTGCACTATGCAACAGCCAACTCGCCAACACCTTCTATCGGGCCTAGCCCCGCTTGACTCCAACCATCGCTACTGCATCTGTGACCGATGTCTGGCTATTACCGCTGGCAGAGCTCGCATCCTATCCCGACAACAATGGCATCAACACAATCCTCAGGGAGATGTGGCTTTGGGCGCGGGCGTGCAGGTGCTTGACGCATTCTACACTACAGCACCACCGCTGCCTACTCCCCAACACGCCGGTGGATCCATGCACCACGCCTCTTCAAGTCAGTCCCTGCCGCGCCCGGCGAGCAACACTCAGACTCAGGCTGCAGCTCAGCAGCGCGAGCGCACCCCGCAGGTTCGATTGTCATCACAGGTGCGTTGATTATCCTTTCATTACCTTGGTATGACTTACACAGCTTACAGACACCGCCTCGCTCTCCATCGTCATATCAAGATGATGTCCCAATGTCGTCACCTCCGCGTGAAGCACAACACCACACAATTCAGGTACAAAATGCTGAGGTAAGTCAGCCACATCCGTCTCACAGTCAAACCTAACGCTTGCGTATGCAGGAGACATTTGGACTTGAGAATCTCGCGATCGAGGATGAACAAGACGAGCGTGAGGAGCACACTCAACAGCAGGATGAACTGCTGCACGAGGAGGACAACGCAGACGACCTGCTGTTACAGAACGCCGATGGAGGTTTACAACAACCATCTTCGGATGCAGCCACAGGCAGCATGCTCACAGACCAGGGACGTGATGACGGAATAGATAGTGCCGAGGGCGAGGAGCAACCTCCCCCACCTCCGGAGATCCCTCCCCAGACAGAGGCTCACGGCACTGCAGGCTTTACAGATGAGGATCTCGACCTCTTCGAGGAAGGGATCGTCCTAGAGGAGCTTCAGCGTTCAACCCAATTCATTCAGCTCCTCAGAAACGCACGAATAGACAACATCACTCACCACAAATTGTCTACGGCTGCCCGTTATCGCCTTCGACACCCTCCCACAACTATCAGCGATCTCTCTGATGACCGCGCCCTTCGGGTTGCCCTCAAGCTACTGATGAAAAACTTGACGGATGATCAATACAAGGCTGCTTGCGATGTACTGGAAGAAGAGGTACCCGGCCTCAAGACACACTCTCTCTACACGGCCCACCGAGAGCTCGCTCGTCTCAGCGGGGTGGAGGGGATAGTCGAAGACATGTGCCCCAATACGTGCCTCGCATACACAGGACCCTTTGCCTCTCTCGACAGCTGCCCCGAGTGCGGCACGTCTCGCTATCTGCCTGGAACATCAAAAAAACATCCTCGTCAAAAGTTCACGACACTTCCCATCGGTCCCCAGATCCAAGCACTGTGGCGACACCCTGATACTGCCTGTAGAATGCACTATCGGCAAGAACGCACGCGGGAAATGCTAGACCGGCTCAGTCGCAACGACCCTGCTGCCTTCCACGTCTTTGACGACATCATACAAGGCCAGCATTACATTGACGCTTGCCACGACGGTCTCATTACGGACGCGAGCACCGTCCTGATGTTCTCCATTGACGGCGCCCAGCTGTACCAATCCAAGCAATCTGATTGCTGGATTTACATATGGGTTGTCTACGACCTCGCACCCAGCGAGCGGTACAAAAAACGACATGTCGTTCCAGGTGCCGTAATTCCCGGGCCAAAAAAACCGAAAAACCTTGATTCGTTTCTCTTTCCAGGTTTCTATCACCTTGCCGCACTCCAGAATGACGGTCTCGTCATTTACGAGGGCGACACTCAGCTTACACACCGCAACAACCCCTATCTCTTTGTCGGCACGGCAGATGGACCAGGGATGGCCATGCTCACATGCCTGGTTGGCCATCACGGTAAAATCTCATGCCGACTGTACTGCGAGTTCCCGGGGCGCCGCCCTCCCGGGAACCCCCACTATTATCCTGCCATGCGTCTCCCCGACAACTACGATATCAGCGGATGCCAGCACCCCTCCACGCGTGCAAGCAAACTACCTGCGGCGGGCTCTGGAAACTATCATGGCAACCTCGCCCGTCTCCTCGCTAGCTCTACGCAGGCCGAATATTGCGTCATGCGGCGCGAGACGGGCATCGTGAAACCCACCATTTTCTCTGGTATCCCCCATACGCTCCCTCTTCCCCTCGCATTCGGCTCCGACATAATGCATGTGACCGCGATTAATGTTGGCGATCTGCTCATTCCCTTATGGCAAGGACAATTCCAGCACGCAGAAGACGATCGCCCTTCTAACTGGAAGTGGGCCGTCCTCAGATCGCATCGGGCATGGAACGAGCACGGTAAGCTCGTCGGTTCTATGACGTGTTACCTCCCCGGCTCCTTCGATCGTCCGCCTCGCAATCCAGCCAAAAAGATTCACAGCGGCTACAAAGCCTGGGAGTGGCTTCTCTATATCTATGGTATGGGCCCTGCTTTGTTCTATGGTATGTCATTCGAGCAATTTTCCCTCGTTCATTTTGCTCATTTTATCAACTTTAACATATATACTAGGTCTACTTCCGCGAGAACACTGGGAAAACCTCTGTCATTTGGTACTCGGGGTTCGGCTGCTGCAGCAGCATTCGATTACCTTCACACAGGTTCAGACGGCTCGCGACCACCTCAACAAGTTTGCCGATGGCTTCGAGAAGATATATGTCCAGAAAAGGGCTGACCGAATTCACTTTGTTCGGCCGTGGATTCACGCGGTAACTCACATGGCCGCAGATACGACGCGAAAAGGCCTGCCACTGACAAGCTCGCAGTGGACCATGGAACGCATGGTCGGCGATCTGGGCCGCGAGATACGGTCTCACTCCCACCCATATGCCAATCTCTCTCGGCGCGCCCTCCTTCGCTGCCAAGTCAACGCTGTCAAAGTGTTGTACCCCGCACTGGTACCCACCGACGCTCCGCTACCGCGCGCTTCAGTCGCCTTTGGTGACTATGTCATTCTCCCTCGCAAGGAACGTTACTTGTACACCCCTAACCCCTCCGAGACCGCTGCATTGGTCAATGCACTTCGCAAAAACAGGATTGAAGTCCATGGACAGCCACGCATTCAACGTCGCGCTCGACTTCGCCTGCCGAACGGTCAAATTGCCCGGTCGTACTGGAAGGAGAAATCTATGGTTGGTAGTGTTAGATGCTCTCGGAATGTATCGGTAAGTGTCTCTATTTTCACGTGTTTCGGCGATGTATTGACTTGAATAGATACATCTACCAGGACAAGCTGACCCTGTGTACGCAGAGGTTCAGTATTTCTTTGTCGGCATGCTCAATGGGGTTGAGCATGCATTCGCCATGGTGTCAATCTATGGCGCGCCCGACAACGTGCTTCGAACTGATTCATTCGAGACCATCCACGCATGTCGGTATCACGGAGAAGCGGCCCTACAAGTCATCAAAATCAAGTACATCAAATCTGTCATTGCCATGCTCCCTCACAAGTTCCCTGGTCGCGAACGCGAAGGGACTTTTTGGTTTGTTGTTGAGAAGCCCGGGTTGGATATAGCCGTGTTTAGTGGACTGGAGCGTGGCATTGGTGACCTGTCCCTTTCTGATGTTTCTTAGTGTGTTCTGTATCCTCATATTCACGCGCATGTAGTGGTAGTTTAACAAATATGCATTGGTTTTCTTTTACTGGGTATTACACATGGGGGAATCAGGATCTTTATTCGGATCAGATGGATCCATCTAACTCTCACCGGATTCGCGCTAAGCTGCACAGCAGGGGCAAGCCCCTGCTGTGCAGCGCGAATCCGGTGAGAGTTAGATGGATCCATCTGATCCGAATAAAGATCCAACAAAAAGCAACGAAAAAAAAACTTTTAGTGGCGATGGTGGCTGCGACGGGGAGGCCACGGGATCTTCCCCTTCTTGGGCGTGTGCCAAGGACGAAAATCGTCCTCCTCGTCCTCCTGTTTGTCCTAATAACATGTTAGTATGAATCAATATAATATAATGAAGTAAGTACCTCGGGTGACTCGTGTACATACGTCCGTACCTGGGTGAGTGTCGGGTAAGAACTCCCGGGGAGCTGACTGGATGGACCCGCGTTGCCGGGAGCCAGCGTAAACGGCGAGACGGCACGGGGCTGGAATTGCGTGACCTTGGCACGCTTGGGCAGCCCCATAGCATAGTGGACGAGGTCGATAGCCGGCGGTAAGAATGGAGATCCCGGGGGCGACGGCGGCATCGTGGACGGCACGGTTAAGAAGGTTGCGCCAACGTCAGGACGGAACCTTTCCTCGCGATCAGTCTGCGTGCCGAGGGACTTGTATGACTTGTTCGCCTTGTTATTTTTGAGTTGGATGCCGATGTGCTACGGCGTTGTGAGCCGATGGTCAATTGGGGATAGCCGTACACGTACCAGAGGTTCTTCAGCTCCATGTGGTTGCACATTCACGGCAAACGTGTTGCCGCGCCGACAGTCCGGCTCCAGAAGGATTGCCTTCTCAACAATGAAGGTGTCGGCGCCCGCCTTGCGCGCTGGCCCGTGGCTTTGATATAGAATGAGCTGCTTGTTGGACATGTTGTGAGTATGAACGCGACGCGATAAGGACTTAGAAAAAAAAAGTGTTGTATGCACGAACCCATCGGACTTTAAAATTGCATCTCAATGCGTCAGATAAGATAAGATTTTGCAACCGCGCCCTCTCATTACATCCCTCTTCCTCTACCACTACAAAAAAAAACGAGGCCACCGACATGACCGACATCGAGGAGATCGCTTCGACCGACGGCCCACACGTGGGTCAGAAACGATCGGTATGTTCTATTCCTTGCTCCATATGATCCCGAGCTCATGTCAGACCTCGTGGTAACCAGGCATCGCCTGATTCATTTCCACAAGGGGAAGATTCCCTGCGCCGCGAGATCAAGCGCCTCCGTGCCGAGAAGAGCAGTCTCGAGGTCAAATGCCAGGTGTACACGTGTGTTCCCCAGTTCTCGCTCAGGCCCAGGGATCGAGGATACTGACTATATGCGGCCTAGCGATCTGATCTTACGTTTCCATTCAGGTGATTCAGCTGGGCCCGCTGTCCCGACCCCCGCGCCGAGCTCCACTGTCGAGAAGGGGCCCCACGAGTCACTCCGCGAGTTCGCCAAGCAGGTGCTAAATCTCGAGCGGACCGGGGCCGACAAAGACAGCGGACTCGACCTCGGCTGTGCTGAAATACTGATAGCTACCGATTACCCCGCCTGCGCCGACACGTGGACTAGCATCGCATGGGACCGGCACCAAACCAAGCAGAAGTCTTTGGCTATAGTTCCGGCGGCAGAACCCATCGAGGGCACGCATGTCAGTAGTCGCGGGCGGATCTACCACGGCTACAACGACAATTACAAGTGGATGGTCAACAAGGACGGAGTGCCTGTCGACGGCTGCGTCGCGCTTGCCGTCCTTCGCACCGCCCGATTGATCTTTTCCCACTGGCGTCGGAAGAACATGCTTGCCCCCACGTTCCTCAACCTTCCATACGAGGCTATCTGCACATATACATGCGTCATCGAGAAGATCCACCCGGTCCTCAAACTTGCGGGGGACCATTGGAAGAGTCGCCTGATCGCCACGCAGATTTACCCGAGTGAAGCGGACAAGGTTTTCAAGTCCAAAAACGGCGCGGCAAAGGCGACCAAGACCGAGCCTGAGGACGACTCGGACATGACCTCGGGTCAGCCAGGGGCGAGTTCTTCTTTTGATTCGGCTTTCATTTCATTCACGTCTGTTACAGAGCTCGTCGGTAAGTAGTGGGCTACCGGAAAACAAGGCGCAGGAGCCGCCCGTGGCCAAGCCAAAAGTCCCTCGCCCGAGGCAAACTAACTCTGCACTGTGACGCCTTTTCGTTTTCATTTCCGTTCATTTCGCGTATTGACACTTTCTCAGGTCCAAAATGAAGGAACAGGACACTGGCGACAACGACTCGTCCTCTGATGAGGCCGATGACCAGTCGTCGTCCACCGAACCACTCGTACTCCGCTCCCGGTCTATTGCTTGTTCTGACGCGTCTCTCCGCGCTGCCCCTGCCAAGAGCATCGACGCTGTCTCAACCGCGATCGGCGGCGACATGGTTGCTCCTCCCACGGTTCTCTTCCCTCCTGATGCCTGTACTACCGTAGCGCCTGCCGAGCCCGAGGACGCGCCGCGACCTCAAGCCGAGCCCGCTACTGCAGGAGCCAAGGACCGGGTCAAGAAGGGAAGGCCAGGTCCTCCATCGGCACCTATGGGAAAGCCACCCATTGGAAGCGGAAAGTGAGTACTTCTCGCACTCTCCTAGATTCTTCTCATCCGTTACAGGAGTCTCTGGTGCGATCGCATCTGGTGGCCGCTTCTCGGAACCAAACCCGAAGGGACAACAGCCCGTTTCAACGCTGATTGGAAGGCGCTGTCTCAGGAGGACCGCGAGGTGGTCTTTATGTTTATATTCACGCTTTCGAACGCTACTGACATAGTATCTAGATGTGGGATTCGACCTATCGACGCGAACACACCAAAGCCGGCAGGACTGGAGCCGCCAAGGAGAAGGCCACACAGGACTCGACCTCGTCGAGGGAGAAGAGAGCCGCCAAACGGGCGGCTTAGTCGCACTCTCCAACGTCTCCGCCGTTCGAACGCGTTCTTACGCACACGGCGCTCTTGCTTTCTTGCCGACTCTCGTGACCTGGTCTTGGACGCGCGGTATGTGCTTATCTATCGATTCCGGTCGATTTCCTTGGCGACATTCGAATCTCGGGCTTTGTGCTTGTCTGGTGGATTCCTATCGCTTTCCATGGTTTTCAGTGCATATCGCTCGTGTCGCTTTCATATGGATTTTGGGGGTTTTCGATATATTTCGATGGTTATGTATTATTCACGAGCTCAATTATCCAAAACATGCTTTTCCATGCGTAACTATGAGAATCAACAACTGTTAAGTTAAACCATGAAACGAGAGAAATCCATCGCTATTGACGGAAAAGGATGGAGTGTCTTTTCACTGGGCTTAAGCGACGGGTCATTCCGCTCGGAACACCATCCGACCCTGAATTTCAAATTGTTTTCTTGCAGCCGTCACTGAGAGGACGAGAAGCTTAAGGTTCAAATTTTTCAATCGGCGATTAATAGCTACGGCTTGAGTTTCAATCGCTACTTGAAAGACTTGTCGTGGATTCTGCTGAGTCTACCGCGCCCTAGGATAAGCTACTCTCCTCTCAGTGACGGCTGCGTAGGAGCCTGGCTAATGCCCAGAACAATCAAACCACCAACGGGCCGGACTCCAAGACTTCACGCATACTCCGAGCAACCTTCAAGTCATATAGTTTATATATATATAAAGAACTAAACCCAAACTATTATCACACATTATCATCACTACGTCTGTCCATCTCGAAAAAGCGAAAGCACCACAACTCAAGCGTACGGGTAGTCTTTCATCATCTCTCGCAGCCGACCCGGCTCGATGCGTGGCTCGAATACGTAGCTGAACGCGGGCGTGTTGGTTGGTATACGGCGCATATACGCGAACGAGTCGACCTCGGGGCTTTCCACCGGGTTCCGGAGCGCGTCCTTGGAGTACTTGGCGGGGTCGAGCGAGATGCGGAAGGCCCAGAGGATGACGATCGCGTTGATGAGGAGCGAGCGCTGGGCGAGGTGTTGGCCGGGGCAGATGCTGTTGTACGATACGAAAAGGATGGCAGGTTCAGCGAAGGTAGTCAATGAGAGGAATGTGGGGACGAACCGTCGTCCGAAGCCGAAGGCGATGTGCCGCATGTCGTTGAGATCCGTGCGGAAGGCGCCGTCTTCGGTGAGCCATCGGTTGATATCGAACTTGTCGGCGTCGGCCCAGACCTCGGGGTCCCGGGATGCCGACCAGTGGTTCCCCCAGACAGTCGTCCCCTTGGGAATACAGTAGCCATTCTATAGTAGGCACAGTCAGTATAAGTCATTGGGCAAGATGGAAGAAAGGCTTACCCAGATGACATCATCGGTTGTATAGTGAGAGAGACCTAAGGCAATCAAACAAGTGTCATTTAATATTGCATTACACAATGTGGACAGCAGAACTCGCCCATGGCAGCAATTGGTCGCCACCGATGTACTTCTTGCACGAATGCCCTGACGAGCGGAAGTGAGTACTCGTCATCAAATGTCGGAACTGTGGGAGATGTCATGTCAGCTGCATTGGTGCGGCACACAGTTATGTCATGCACGAACCTCTGTCACGTCCGACGACGGTGTCAATCTCGGCCTGCACGCGAGCTTGGATTTCGGGGTGGAGTGCGGCGGTCATCATGATCTGGCACGCTCCAATAGCGCTCTGTTACACATGTCAATGAGTGGGTCGATACTTGAAGATGAAGGGTTATGCCTACAGTCTCAGAGCCAGCGGCATAGAATGAGCCAGCGAGGAAGGCCATCTCCTTGCGCGACATTCCGTAGCTGCTCTCGTTCTCGAACAGGTGTCTGCTGAACGAGGGGCCCGCATCGCTATCAATCTATAAAACCGGATTGAGCATGAACGGACGTCCTGGCAACGTAATCTGACACAAAACCACACGTACCAGTTTGTTCCGTACATTCTCCAAATGTCCCACGAACAGCTTCGTATCGGTTTCGTGCGTCTGTCTAAGCTCCCGTCCATACCAAGGCATATACTTGAGCCAGCTGAATAGCGCATAATCGACGAGGTATGCGCCAGGGCGGAGCGCATTACGTGTCATGGCCAAGCTGCGCTCGATCTTCTGCACCTCAGGGCCGGACGCGGAGGTGGGCATGCTCTTGCCGTACGCGACCTTGAGCACGACAGACGCAGCGTACGTACGCGCGTGACTCTGGTATTTCATCGGCTCGTCGAGCAGGCCAATGATGGTCCCACGGACGTGTTCCATTTGCAGAGGGGCGTAGGTGCCGACAGCCTTTGGCTGAAGGTGGGTGTGCATTGCGCTGATGGTATAGGTATGAGCAAGAGAGCAAGAGAGCAAGAGGTTGAACTAGATCCCGGACTGAGAAGATACTGACCGTCGCATGAGACGAAGCCGAGGACCATTAGTAAATCCGATGCTAACGCCCCCAGTGAGCAACTCGGTGATGGAAATGCGAGGGGGTCTGTCGGCTAGCAGAGCGCCCTGTCTCTCCATAATATCGAAGAGCGCCTGCACGAATTGTTGAGCAAACATCTTCGCTCCGTGCGATTAATGTTTCGTACCTGCTGACCACCTATGACAACGTACTTCTCTGTTCCATCTCTGAGTGTGATGATGGGACCGTACTCCTTAATCCACTCCTCAATTTGAAGGAAAGGCCTAAAGTGTAAGGTGATCAAGCTGAATGTGTCCTGAAGTATGACTATAACTCACAAGTTTGAGTTCTGCGCAACCTTGTGCCCGTAGAACCAATGGTTTGTCGGCGGGCTCGGAGGCATAGGCCGTGACCTGCGAGACGAGTAGCTCTTCCATGCCAAGGCACATGCCGATAACGAGATGACAGCGAGTCCTAGAATGTTGGGGTCAACATCCTGGAGTTTGGTCGGAAGCTGGGCTGGAAGCAGCGATTCAAGTGCGCGGGACATGGTCGTCGAGGTTGAGGGTTACTAGAGGAGACGGGTTCGAGATTTTCCAATGGCATATTAAATAGAAAGTGCCTGCGGGGCTCGGCGCCATGACGTCTCCGAAACGTGAAAAGTGTTGACAAACTACTTCCACGCCCGGGAAAGGTGTGATCGACTATTACACTGTGCAGTGTGTACATCTGTTGATCGACTGATTCGAGGGGTGGGAGTTTACTTCCGTGGCCACGGCAAGTCCCGACGGCCTTAGACTCCCGACGGTCCCCTTCGTCCCGGTTTCTCCAGTCCTTACTGCCTCGTGCACGGAGCGGGATATCTCGAGGCTGAAATCGGACAGGACATGATACTCGTCGCGTTTGCATTGACTGCATCGTCGACCAGTTAGTCGCATTACTTACATGAGGCGAGGTTCTCGCTGATAAGTAAAAGACTCACATGACACACTGAGCAGCTGGGATACCTGAAAGTGTATCCTTATCGTTCTGAACGTTCATCCTCCCCTTCACGATAACGACATGGCCCTCCAAGGAGTCCTTTCCGACGTTCGACGAGCCGCTGCGTCTCTCATCGGTGACCAACGCCTGAGCGACAGCGACTCACTGCGCGGAGGACGTTACACATACATCGCGTTCGTGACCGCTGTTCTTGTCGCGGGCATTTACGCTAGGAGGCATCAACGTCAACGAAAGGACGAACGTCCGCGAGGTGACATAGAGACGAATGGCCGTTCTAGAGATGTGAACAGGAACCGTGCCGAGGGAGGTATGTACATACCTGCGTTTTATGGGGAACGGCGGAGGTGACTCGTCCAACCCGACCGCCTAGAATGGACCCCTGAACAGTTCAGATACCCTGAGGTCACGCCTATGCCTTACGAACTCCAGGACATCAAACCAGTCCCTTATCGCCCTTTCCGATGGGGGGAGTACCAGTAAGCCTCGAGCTCTCGCTGACCGTGTGGGCTGGTATCTGAGGCTCGTTCTATGCAGCATAACCATGGGTATTCGCAGTATGCCTTGGTCAGAGTGGATTGAGATTGACAAGGAATACGCTGCATACCACCGGGCACGTAAGTTCAGACTGCAGACACGAGGCAGGGAGGTTGTCAGGGTCTTGGATGATCGTACCGAGGGAGTGCAGATTAGAGGAGGTGCAGAAGCAGGTGCGTTTTCATCACTATCCGTCGCAAACTACATCCTTACGATGTATGGTGTAGCGAAGGAGCTGGTGTACGAGATCGCGGAATACCTCTCTAGACGATATCCAAGCACTTTCAGTGTGACGCGATACGCACAAAGTGAGAAGGCTACAACGTCACCTCCCTCGGTTGGCGGTTTGCCTTTGGCATGGGATGGGCTATCCCCGATCAAGACCATAACTATCGTGCCTTTGGGAGAGACTTACGATTTGAGCGTGCTGGAGTCGATGAGCGGGACTGATATGGGCGAGGAAGCGATGCGGATTTGCGCTATGCTGTAAGTAAACCACTTGGAGAACGCTTAGTGTGCTGACACAGTCATCTGCGTAGAGTGCAGGAAGACCTCGCTATCATGATCGAAGGTGACGATGGACAGTACTATTTCCAGGCCGGTGCCATCTTGATTCCAGGTGCGCATATAACGCTCTACCATCCCCGCGCTGCTAACTCATACACGCATTTGTGGACAGGCTTCTGGCGCATGCGCGATAAAATTGGCATGCCTCTCGATGAAATACACGTCTCGGGAAACGTCCCACAGTGTAGGACACCATCTCACCATCTCCCCTTCATACAACTAACCAGGGGCACAAAACGTAGTCAGAGAAAAGCTCAAGACAAGCATGGAACGGTTCTTCCGACGCATGCCAGTCGACAAGCCAGTCATCCGGAACAACTACTTCGTGCAGGTCGTCCGCCCTCAAGCTCAAGAGAAGCATGAGGAAGATCACGATCACGACCGCGAACACGACCCCGTCGCAGAGGAAGCTGAGACCGCCTCCGACGCAGACCCAGAGGAGCTCGGCTGGTCCGCGTCGACGAATGGGGACGAGGACGGGTTCGCGCACGGGCACGGACACTCGGCGGAGGCGGCGTCCTATCTGGCGCCCGCGACGCTGCGGATCCGGTCCGAGCGCCAGACGCTCAGGCGGCTCCCGCGCAGCGGGGCGGTTGTGTTCGGGATCAGGACGTACTTGTTCAAGGTCGAGGAGCTGGCGAGGGAGAGGGGCGTTCCGGCGCGCCTGGCGAGTGCGGTGAGGAGCTGGCCGGACGATGTCGCGGTGTATAAAGGGCGGAAGATGTATAAGGACGTGCTGTTGAGGTACTTGGATGAGTGTGCGGAGAGGGATGTGGCTGAGGGTGGCAATGGGGTGGAAGACGGGAAAGGATATCCGTTCTGAAGTTATATCTGGTCATCGTTTTACGATGAAAGTGGTGTTCCGACATATCTGCACTGATTTAAGTCGTACGGATCCATATTCAACAAGCGAGTATATTGGTCAGCTCCCGTTCGAGATGTTCCATTGGCAAACTGTATTGATCGTTCGCTCGGCAGCTCGTTACCTCACACCTTGTAGCGTATGTCAGCGTTCATGTCAGGGCAGAGTGTAGAGCAAGGTATGATACAGGAATGATGATTACACTGGATCCGCATACTGGTGGTCGACGTCGTTAAGCTAAGATGCCAAGAAAGCAGACGGCTTCATCCCGTACTCTTCTATATGTCAAACCATACCTCCTTTTGTACCTCTCAAACGCATTGTCTCCGCCCTTATCATGACGGAACTGGGGATAGGCAAACTATTGGCAGAAATGTAAGAAGCTATTTGTTCTCGGTCTAGCACAGATGAGGAAACTGCACCCGCAAAATCCAATCAATAAAAGGCGATTTTGTTCATGGCCGCGAGTATTGTACGGTGCTCTGTAGAACCGGCGGCTCACGTTGAGATGCGTAAGGAAGGGGAGACCAGGGCTTGGTCGTAATCTGCCGATAAATGGCGAGCTCTTTTGAGAAGAATGCGAAGTTAGAGAAGCGTATGCGCGGACAGTGTTAAACAAGAACTTCGCACCCGCGGACATCTTGTGTCTGTCAAGTATCTGCTTGACAGCCACAAGGCATATCATCGCTTTGCTCCGACAGGGAGGACATATCAGACGTCAATGTATATTGCATATTGTATATACATTAGCAAAGAAGAATCAAATCTCGCTTGAAGTCTATGTGTGACTAAGGTATTGATCGTTGCCTGACCGCCGCTTGGGCATCAGCAAGATACTCAGATGGCGACTTGTGCTCGCCGAAGGTGCAGTGCATGAACCAAATAGTAAGTGCATCA